ATTGTACTCTAGGTACAGAAATTATTTTCAATCTTATAGAATCCGAGAAGAGCGTATTCGTTCTCTTCAAGCTATGATAGATATTGACTTTGAATACCTTCCGATTCTTAAAGCTTGGAAGTTTGATAAAATGTTTCAGCTCAAACCTATCGTTTATCAACAGTTAGTCCGTATTTTCTATTCCAATGCGGTATGTATTCAAAACGAAACTCAATGTGGGACTATAGCCATTAGATCCTATCTTTTAGGCCAATATATCAATATTGACCCCGAGACTATAGCTTTCCGTTTTGGGTTAGATGATGATGGGTTATATAATGAGAATGAAAATGTGGAATATCCCTATGTTCCAAATTCTAGTGTTAGTACTCTACAATCTCTTCCTGCTCGTTTTCTTCATTTGATGATCTCTTGGTGGTTTAGACCATCCAGAGGTAGGTACTCCACTCTTCGTGCTAGGGATTTATGGTGGATGCACTGTATTAAAAATAAGATCAAAATAAATCTGCCCTACATTATTTTTAGTCAACTAGTGGATATAATAAACATTGTTCCTTCAAAACATGTTGAAACATTGATGTTCTGAGTAACCTCTTTATCAAACTCGGTCTAAACGTCTCTCTTGACAATCCTATCCCACTCCAAAATCAAATCAATCTTACTTCCTTGAAGAAAGCGGATTGGAAACAAGACAAGGAAACCGGTCTTTGGGTATTTCGACCCGGTAAGCAAACTCTGGGAGCTAGTTCTTCACGAGCTGCTCCTAGCTCTTCTCGTACTCCTCTTCCTCCTCCAGCACCGGCTGCTGACGATGATCCTGAGTTTCAACAACTTATGCAATATATCGACAATCACGTTCCAGACGATGAGCCTGCACCGGAACCGGCACGACAAGAAGATCAAATGTCACCATATTTTTGATCCTTCTTGGAGTCGTTTGATCTGAGGTTTGCCTCCATGGAGTCTCAGATTATTGAGTTTCAGCGGGAGATACGTGAACGTATGGACGCGCTCACTCTTGAAGTTCGAGTTCATTATCCTCCTCCTCCCGACCCTCCGATGGATTAGACCTTTTCTCCATGCTTTCTTAGTATTTTAAACTTGGATTGTTTGTTTTGGATTGTTAAATGCTTGAATTTGTTATGGTTTGGATGATTGGATTTTAAACTTAATATATATATATATATTATATATATATTTGGTTTGGTTGAATTTTCTTATTTTGCATCATTATATATGACCAATTATGCCATTTCACATTTGCTTTTGAATATTGATTATGGAACTAATGACTAATCTCTCTTTTAATTGTGATCTTAGCAGCTTAAGCTATATATATATATATATATATATTTAAAATAAATTGGCTAAGCTTTTCAAAACCTTGTTTAAAACATTTTAATGTCTTTTTGATTTAACAAAAAGGGGGAGAAGTGTAAAAGTGTTAAAGGGGAGAAGTGTTGTAGTAAGGGGGAGTAATTTTTCAAAATTGATTTCAAAATTTTAGAAAATCTTAAAATAACACAAATGTTTTGTTATATCAAAAAAGGGGAGATTGTTGAAAATATTTTTGTGTTTCGATATAACAAGTTAAGTTTAAATGAATTTTAAGATTTTACAAATGATTTTCTAAGTATATTCGATGTAATTAATCGAATATCAAATTATTACTCCAAGTCTTTCAAGTTCAAATTCAAACCTTACTAAATGTGTAAAATTGTGTTTTATACTTAAACTATTTTTGAAACAATTTTCATAAAGTATTTTGAACCAAAATCAAGCCTAAAATCAATTTATCAAAGTGATGCACTGATGCACCAATCCATGCATCGATGCACCAATCAATGCATCGATGCACCATGAATTAAATTAAACATAGAATGCATTTGATGCATCGATGCACCAGTCATGCATCGATGCACTCTGACTATTTTGAAACATCGAATGCACTTGATGCATCGATGCACTCTTAGTACACTGATGCACTAAGGGTCCAACGGTCAAAATATTTGAATTTTACACTGATGCACCATGGGTATGCATCGATGCACTGACACTCCCAATTGCTTTAATTAATTGTTTTCACACTTAAACGGCTCTATTGACTCCACTAAGCATCCCCAACGTTCAGAATCATTTGAAGGTGTATTTAAACAAGCTTAGAAGCCATTGATCAACAACAAGAAACAACAATCAACAAGAATCAAGAGAGAATCAAAGAGAAAGCATCAAACCTCAAGTTTGAGCATTTCAAGCCTATTTTTCATTCAATATTCATTTTTCTTTCAAGAACACTACTTGTACTCAATTGTATTCGTTTTTTAGTGTTCTTTTCTTTGTTCTAGAATTGTGCAAACAATCTACCTTGTGAGGATTTCCTTGTAAGTTTGCAAATTTGTAATCTTCTCTTTGAGAAAGAGTGTTCTCAAGAATTGGGGTATATTCTTGAGGGAGTTGTAAGGTTATCTCTTTGGCCTCAAAAGAAAGAACAAATTAGTGAATTTGTTGGAAAATCCTTAGTGTGGAAAGCTAAGGTAGTGGATGTAGACTTTGATTAAGAAAGTCGAACAACTCTAAATCGCTGTGCAATTACTTTCAATTTTCTGCAAAAGCTTCCACCAAAATTTTAATTGCCAATTCACCCCTCTTGGCCGATTTCGTCGATCGATTAACTCAACACACTTATCTTTTATGTTTGTACACTTTTTTCTTTAAATAAAAAAATTAAGCTTTAGTCACTAATGTTTATGTTTTATTAAGTTTCGATCACTAACATGTTGAATGCCGTTAATTTAATGAGGTGACAAGTTTATAAAATAGTTTAATTTTTATTTTTAACTCTTAAATTTTAGATAAAACATTAATTATGGAACCTTTTTATATAAATCCTAAGAAATTTAAGGATAATTTTTTAATTTATCTTTCTTAAATATGTTTTTCTTCATCTTTGCCTCAATTCTACCTTCTTTCTACTTACATTGACTTCTCGTTATTTTAAAGAAAAATTTTGGTCGGCCACTTCGGTGGTTCGTGTGACATCATTGTCCGTCGATCTTTGGGTTTTACTAGATTAGTACGTTACATAAGTTGGTGCGAGAAGTTTAATCCCATAGTGGAGAACGATTGCTCAAATACGTAGATTAGATTCACACACCATTTAATTTCTTTGTGGTTTTTTCTTCTCTTGTTCATCGCATATCTGCGATTGTTGAAAGAAGGATTTCGATTCGACTTATTCCCGGAAGTTGTAACGTTGAGGCTAATTCATTAGCCAAAAGGGCGTTAGCTGGTTTGTTCCCCTGAAGAGACTGATGTCCGTGAGTGTATGAGACTTCAAGTTTTATATTGGGCTAAAAGATTATATGTTTTACCATCCTTTCGTGTTTCTGTAATCTGCTGAGAAATTTATGTTTCTTTGCTTGTCAGGGCTTCTGTTTTGTCTATGATATATTTGTTAGGTATTGTTGAGGTATGTTTTTAAAATTGGTGCTTTGAAGCTTTAAGGTCTGGCTAGCTTTACATAAATTTATAAATTTTCAAAATATTAATAATAGTTTTAGGTATTCTTCTCTCTTTCCTCTTTTCTACGACGAGTCTCGGTTTATCATCGATTATGAAGAGAGTTTTTTAAGGGTGAATTACAAATTCGATAACTAAACTTTCATGTGATTTCTATTTTACTCACCGTACTTTTAAAATTTTCAATTTTCTCACTCAACTTTTAAATTGCTCATGTTTTGGTCACTCAATCGTTAATAGCTAACGGTGTTATGACATGACAATCTCAACAAAAATGGCGTCGTTTTATATCTTGCAAAAATAAGGTAAATTACAAATTTGATAACTGAACTTTCGTATAATTCCTATTTTACTCATCGTATTTTCAAAATTTCAATTTGCTCACTCAATTTTATATATTGAGTTTTTTTGTCACTATACCGGGGTTAGACGAATAAACGGCTGGTGGAGGCAGCGATGGTGAAAGGGCAAATCGACTGGGTTTTGGTCAAAAACAGGGGAGGACTTCAGCAGTGGCGGCAGTGAGACAAATGGACGGTCGGGGTGTCCGAAAATCTATGAAAATCAATGGGAAGCTTTGGCTTCCCGACGAACCTTCGACGATTTCTCTACGACTAACGACGAGGAGCCTTGATAATCGACCATCAGGGTTTCGATCTGGAGACGATGTCAGTGCTGTTGGAAGTGACGGTGCGAGCCACCACTAGCTGGAGATGGGTTCGGCGATGAAGGCATTGGTGAACGATTTTTGATGATGAGAAGTTTAACGGCTGGGTGAGCAAAATTAAATTTTTTTAAAGTACGGTGATTAAAATATGAATCATATCAAAGTTCAGTTATAAAATTTGTATTTACCCTTATTATTATTATTATGTGGAAAATCTGATATGGCATGTTTAATATTAAAATATTCCACGTCAATGAGATATTAGTGATATAACGGTGGATTGACAAAAAAAAGTTCAATTCATAAAGTTAAGTGAACAAATTGAAAATTTTGAAAAGTATGGTGAGTAAAATAGGAATCTTATGAAAGTTCAGTTACCAAATTTATAATTTACTCTTTTAATGAGACCTCATTTTATCAAAAAAAAAAACAATGCATTAAATTTTTAGGAAAAAATTAAGAATGTGAGATACCATGAAACCAAAAGAACAAATTATACAAAACCATCAATTTAATAAAATATAATTCTAAATAATTTCATATTTTCAATTAAATATTATAAGTTTTTAAACTAATTTTATATTTCATAAATGAAAATATGGGACAAGGTAGAGTTAAAGCCGATGTAAGACTCCAGTCAAAATTAAAATGGACGATGAAATCCACCGCCAAGTTGTCGGACACTCCATTTTAAAGCTCACGTGAAAGCCTATCAGCTCCACCACAACACAACAAAAAAGCACCCCTTTTCTGCACAACTTCACCAATCACCCTCAACCTATAAACCCCCCTCTTTCCTTTTCATATAACAATACTACTATTTTTTTCTTGTATACTTTCTTATCTTTGGCTTTTACCTGCAATATTTCTCTTCAAAAAATGACAACCCATCTTTCCTTTCATCTTTTCAAGCCATGTTTAACCCTTCTTTTTTTATCCTTGTTTCAATCCCGAACAACTTTCTCAGCTCTGATAATGAGCTTGAGGAACCACCATAGCCACCCCCAACATAGAAGACCAATGTTCCAAACCAACCAAACCACTTGTGCATTGTTTACAGGGACTTGGGTCCGTGATGATTCTTACCCATTGTACCAATACTCGAGCTGTCCAGCCATAGATCCCCAATTCAACTGTCAACTATCTGGGAGACCTGATTCTGATTACCTTAAGTATCGATGGCAGCCCCTCAATTGTCAGCTCCCAAGGTATTAGATTACTACTGCCTTGTTGAACAGTTTTGGGTGATGATTTTTGTGTTTGTGTGTTTATTTCAGGTTCGATGGGGTTGCTTTTTTGTCGAAGATGAGGGGGAAGAATGTGATGTTCGTTGGGGACTCGCTGGGAAGAAATCAATGGGAGTCTTTGATTTGTATGATTTTGGCTGGGGATCCACAAACCCAGACTCAGATGAACAGAGCAATGCCTCTTTCCACTTTCAAGTTCCTGGTTAGCCTTATCAAACCTTCTTTCTTCTTTATTCCATTTCCTTCGCTCTTGAAACCCCACCCAGATTTAGTAAAGGAAAGAAGAAAAAGAAGAATGGTTTGTACAGTGGTTACAGGCTGGATGCAACCTAGTTTGGCTCAACTATTTCTTTTGGTAGTTAATGTTATCTCGTAGAACTTGAAAAGTTATATAATTGATAATAATTTTGGTTATAACTTAAATATTGTGTTGCACAAAGTTTAACATTAAAATTATATTAAGACGGGTTTTAATCTAATATGTTATCGGTTTATTCTAAAAAATTATATAATTGATAATAATTTTAATTACAATAAAATATATTGATGACAATTTTTTAAGTTGAACAGGAATATTAATGCAATTTATATGATTTATTAGGGATATATTACCCTGTCCAATCTAAAGACTCTTATATTAACCTATTTTTTCTATTTTTAATCTTATATTAATCAGTTGTTTTATAGACTCATCCTTTGTTTTGAACTATTACAAAAAAAACTTGAACAGTATTGTACTAGTTCCACTATCTAAAATATCTGGTCCAATTTTTTTTTTTGGGAAAAGGTCTATTGAAATATCTGAATCCAAGCTTCCTCTGCAAATAGTGTTGAAGCTTTTTTCATGGCCAAAAAGTCGTTTCGAGCACGTCCTTATAGCAGTTGTCTGAGGGACCCAAACTGAGAATTATTTTGCAAGATATCATGCCAACTAAAAGCCACTACTCACTAGCTACTGTGTTTTTACCCCAACTTATGTTTGTACTATTTTTCTATCCTACTACGTAAATTTTGTTTAAATGATGAATGCAGGAATATGGTATCACCATGTCATATTTTCGAGCTCCGTATTTGGTAGACATTGATGTGGTACAAGGGAAGAAAATCGTAAAGTTGGACGACATAGCTGGAAACGGAAATGCCTGGCGAATGGCTGACGTGCTGGTGTTTAACACAGGCCATTGGTGGACTCATGAAGGGTCTCTCCAAGGGTAGGCTAACACTCTCTGTTGTGTTGGTGAAAAGTTCTCAAATGGGGTTTTGTTTTTGTTTAATATGAATGGTTTGGGGTAAATGTGGGCAGGTGGGATATGATTCAATCAGGAGGTAAATATTACCAGAACATGGATCTTTTGGTTGCTATGGAGAAAGGGCTAAGAACATGGTCTAATTGGGTTGACACCAATGTCGACATATCTCGAACCAGAGTATTTTTTCAGTCCATTTCCCCTGATCACTATGAGTAAGTCTTGCTCTCTCGAATAACCGTGTTGACTACAGCATCGGATTCAAAATAAGATAGGAAACTACATGATGGGTGAATGACCATATTGTTCTGTTTTGATAATCTAATGATTTTGTTCGGTTAACATAATTGACAGTCCAAGTGAATGGAGTGCCGAAGCAACAGCGATGACCAGGAAAAACTGTTATGGAGAAACGACCCCTATGGAAGTAACTAGATACACCGGCGCATATGCGGATCAGACGAGAGTGTTGGATGAAGTCATTAGGGAGTTGCATGTGCCTATATACTTGTTGGACATAACAATGCTCTCTGAGCTTAGGAAAGACGGGCACCCTTCAATTTACAGCGGCGATATAAGCCCTTCTCAGAGGTCTAACCCGGCTAAGTCGTCTGATTGCAGCCATTGGTGCCTACCTGGGTTACCTGATACTTGGAATGAACTATTTTATACTGTATTATTCTACTAGATTCACTTCATTTATGATTACTTTTAATTTTGATTATAGGCCAGTGTAACCTTTTCTGTTAAGCAATGCATTCTCATTTTGATATGAACCAAGGTGCAGGGATTAGAGAGGGCAAAAAGAAAGGGATTTTAGAGCCAGGTTTTTCTGGTACATTTTTTAACTTCTTTTGGTGGATGCCATTATAGGTGTTCGTGTTAGGGTTAGGTTTTGAAATTTCTTAAAATCCTTACCAAGTTTGGTATTAATTTCTCAAGAAAATTATATTGGGCCATATCCTTGTTACTAAGGCTTATCCTTGGGCCATCTCTCTTCCACTTGGAATTTCTTTAGCAAAAGGGAATATTGTTCATCTTAGAAGATTCGAATTTGAGAGTTGGATCTGGAGAGTGTATACGCCATATCAATTGGCTTAAAAAATTCTGAACAAATACCACTGTAATGTTATTACATGTTGCTCAACATGCGTTACCGATCATCACGCTATTGCAAGACAAAGGAGTGGAAGGTTTTAGGTCCTGAAAGACGACCAATGGTTTAACGTTCTTGTCCTAACTGAAGCTCTTCCGATCAATGTCGGTGATCATATAGAGGTAATGGCACTCACCCGAACCCGAGTAATTTAGCCTACTTGGTCCGACTGTGCTAGTCTACCAATTAGAAGTTCTCTGCTAAAAGATGAGAGTTTCTGTAACATAATTCTGATGCAGTAAATTAAGTAGAGATGTCATGATTAACAAGTGACTTACATTAGTGGTTCCATGAACTGCACAAAGCTAATGACCAATAGAGTATTCAAGAGCCCGGTACATCGAGAGGTGACGAACTCGGAGAGGGAGATGATTACTCTGGCTATCTTCTGCATTCCACATCCGGATCAAGAGATTAAACCAGTGGAAGATCTCATAAATGAAACAATTCACAGATTATACAAGAAAGTGAAGGATTATGTCAGTCTCTACTTTGAATACTATCAGCAAGGAAGGAGATCTCCTCCCAAATGGACTATATATAGCACCACACAGGGCACAAGCACTGTCCACCATTATCCCCAAAGAGATACTCTATCCTGCGTTGCAAGTCGATCAAAGATAGCCAACCAAGTGATAATCGCATATTTAGGCGTGTGCGATGAAAACCATATCAATTTATGCCAATTAACCCTCTCCCATTTAAGTCTAATCTCCTCCCAAATCATCAAGCTGCCTAAAGGCACAGATGTTAAAATAAGAAGGGAGAAATACCAGATTCTAAGAGAACAAAAACCTGTCATTTGTGATACTGGCAACAGGTTGTGGGAGAACAAGAGAAGCCTTCAACAACTTTTTCACTTTTTGATTTATTTTAGAAACTGTTTTTGCACTTAATGTAAATGATAAAGTTTTTTACCAAGCAATAGTTCGATTTTTTGAATGCAACAAAGTACAGAATTAGAATCTGTGCTTTTTCACTTTGTTTGTCAACAACACATCTGAGATGTTTGGTTTTACACATGGATGTTTACCTATGCATAGATGGGATCAACTTAATTCCTTCTTCCAAAAATCAGGGTATATATGTATATATATATAATGAACATACACCAATATGAATGTTTAATTTGACCGTTAATTTGTTTCATAATTCAGGGCTAAAGTTATTTTTGGATTCAATGCTCTTGCTGGTCGAACTATAGATTCCAATGGTGAGGCCGTTGGTGCTTGGAACTACACTAATGCTGAATCTTTTATTCGTTACACTGTCGAAAAGAACTATACCACTCATTGTTGGGAGTTAGGTAACTACTTGTCCGATATAATGTAATTAACCGTAATTTGTTTCATAATTCAGGGCTAAGTTATTTTTGGATTCAATGCTCTTGCTGGTCGAACATAGATTCCAATGGTGAGCCGTTGGTGCTTGGAACTACACTAATGCTGAATCTTTTATTCGTTACACTGTCGAAAAGAACTATACCACTCATTGTTGGGAGTTAGGTAACTACTTGTCCGATATTGACTCAAATCTTCGATACATTATCTTTAATAAGATTGAATTTGTTATGTTTTGCTTGTTAGGAAATGAACTGAGTGGGAGTGGGGTCGGAACTCGGGTGTCTGCAGACCAGTATGCAGCTGACACTGCTGCTCTTCAAAGCGTAGTGGAGAACGCATAGAAGAATGTCGATTTGAAGCCGTTGATTATTGAACCCGGAGAGTTCTATGACTCGGATTGTTTCAAAGAATACATAAATAAGACAATTGAATCCGTAGATGTTGTCACTCACCACATATACAACCTTGGACCAGGTATGATTCACCTTGTAAAATCCCAGTATTTGGATCTTCTAGGACTTGACCATCGTTTTTCTCTCTGTAGGAGTTGATGAGCATCTTGTCGAAAAGATTCTCAATCCACCCGTTCTCAAAGGTGAGTCAGAAACATTCAGCGGCCTCCATAAGATCATCAAGAGTTCTCCAACTTCAGCAGTTGCCTGGGTGGGTGAGGCCGGAGGAGCTTACAACAGCGGCCATCACCTTGTTACAAATGCATTTGTGTTCAGTTTCTGGTAATACCTTGTTATTCCGATGCTAAGGCGTTTCAGATCGGTCCAATAGATTTCTGATTGATATTATATGGGACATGAAATGCAGGTATTTAGATCAACTCGGCTTGGCGTCCAAGTATGATACAAAAACGTGTTGCAGACAGTCACTGGTTGGTGGAAAATATGGCTTACCAAACACCACCAACTTCGAACCAAATCCAGACTACTACAGGTTATTTTGCTTTCTGAAATTCTTTCATTAGCCTATCTATTTCAGATACTGATGATACTCTTTCCCCATTGTAGTGCTCTTTGTTGGCACCGACTAATGGGAAGAAATGTTCTTTCGACAAGCTTCATCGGGACCGAAAAGATCCGATCCTACACTCACTGTACAAAACAATCTTGCCCTTCTAAGATTTTGACCAGAGTTTTCTTACATCTTGCAGAAAGGCATCACACTACTATTGATCAACCCAGACAATAGCACCACGTACGGTCAAGCCAAAGCTTGATTTCAATACTGCAGTTGCCTTGCGACGCAAGCACCACCATAAGCACAAAATCCATATTATCAAGCTGCATGAAGGCATCAATGCAAGACTATTTAGAAGAAAGGAATACCATCTAACAGCAAAACACGGGGATTTACACAGTCAAACCATGCTACTCAACGGAAACGTTTTAAGCGTAAATTCTTCGGGGATCATACCTCCATTGGAGCCTTTACATGTGATTTCGGAGAAGCCGGTAATGGTTGCTCCTTTGTCCATTGTGTTCGTTCACATGCCTGGTGTTATTGTCCCTGCTGCTTGCAGGGTTCACCCGTAGAGCCTACTAAAATTGGCTGCTTTTAGGTTATTGATTGATCAAATAGGAAATAGAACATATTACAGATAGATATTACATTATTTTTCTCCATAGTAAAGAATATAATACAGCATATCTTTTTTTTTGTCTCAGTTGATTGACTTTGCATGCTGTTCTTTTATCTATTTCCTGTAGACACCCGTTTTTGTCCGGATCTTTTTTATATATTATTATTATCGTTATTTTAATTATTATTATTAGAATTATTATTATTATTTTATTTACATATTCTGTTTCCAGGCCCAGTACAAAACCCGAGCCCATGTGATAACCCAACTAGGGTTTCCTCTCAAGCTTCAGCCGTCCCTCTCACCCCGTTGGATCTGGACCTAATCAATGGTCCAGATCAGGAGATATTTAGGGTTTCAACCCTAATCCCCTAACTACTCAGCCACCGCCTTGAATTCCTCAGTTCCCAGCCGCCGCTCAAGCCAGATTCCCATCACCGAGCCGTCGTCGAGTTCCCGAGTCACCAAGCCGAGCCTCCCTTCCGATCGTATCTGATGAACGCATCAACAACAGTGACCAAAATCCCTCAAACAGTGAAAATGGACATAAAATCAGAAAAAAATCCAAAAGAAATCTTATCCTAATTCTAGGATATTATGACCCTACAATCACATCCATCAAATATTAGCTACGCATGCAAGACTAAGGAGAAGATTAAAAAAAAGCAAGACAGAGAAGATAGGGGACATTCGGTGAGAACCAAAGAAAAAAGAGAAATTCGGGGAGTCAAACCAAATGGAGAACCAACAGCAAAAAGTGAAGAATAGAGAGAGAGGAGATCTCACCGTGGGTTCGAAGCCGTTGGGAACACCAAGAGCCGCCGGATTTCAAAGACATCGAGAGGTAAAGACCTTAGATCTAGTGCTAGGGTAGATTCTAGGTGAGACGGGGTGAGGTTCTGAGTTTAGGGAGATGAGGGTGATTTGGGGGTCTTTGGCCCGCTCCGGCCACCGTGGGGCCGCCGCGCACCGCCGTGAGGCGTCACCGGCGGCGGAGACTCTTCTTCTCCCCGATGAGGGAGTTGAGAGTTTAAAATCCCTCTCTCCTCCCTCTGATTCTCTAGCCGAGAAAATGAGAAGCTTAGCCCGTTTTAGCCTTTAAAAATACATATATAATTGAACCAAACGACGCCGTTTTAGGGGTTCAGGGTATGCGTGTTTCAGCATGAAAGGGTAAATAGCCTATTTGGTCCTCGCATCTTTGTAACTCTTACCCGTGTTTCTCATATTAAAAGGGTAAACCACACTTTTGGTCCCTGATCCTTTGTAACCGCATATTTAGTCATTAAAGAGATTTATTGTATTTCGATTTCGAGCCTTTATTTTTTAGAACTTATATTTTAGTCCTATTATTGCATGTTATGATAATTTTGTTATGATTAGACTTTGGGCATTATACTTGTAAATATTTTATTTTAGTCACTGATTTAATTTTCATGTATTTCTTTGATATTCGAATATGGCCACCACATTTATAAATCTTTTATTTTAGTCCTTATTTTACTTTTTTGGTTTAAAAATTATTCAGCCTTCATGTTTCTGTTTTAATTTCAATCTAGTCCTAAGTATTATGGCTTATTCACATTTCTGATGTTTGTATTAGTTGTTGTTTGTGATTTGGGCCCTATTTTTTGTAATTACTTTTTTAGCCCTGTTAGTTTCTGCTTTTACTAATTTAGTCCATTATGTTTATGTATTTCTATTTTAG